GGAGAGCAAGGCCTGCCCATCTCTATGAGGAACACGTCCCCATAGCCGGGCTCCGTCCATGTTCGACTTTGTGGCCACAGGCCAGTTATCTCCTCCTCGGATCTCCCTCCGCATAAACCCTGGCTGAGTTCTGAGGCTCAGAAGTTTCAGGGAAACCGATGGTGGATAATGACACCATGAAATAACCTTCCTTTAATGACTGTTACGGCCCTGCTGCACGTAGCAACGTCTCATCGCCCAACACAGCCCGGGGCGGCCGGACAGATATTCACGGCGCCACGGTCATGTTCCCAGGGGATGACTCATGAAAACTCCGCTTGTGGTGCATGTGTGGGAAGGGGGCCCCATGAATGCATTTTAAAAGATATATACTAGAATTTTGTGCCAGGGGTTCGGCCCTCATAGCCCCAGCTTCATCAGGAAGGTCGTTCGGCTGTCCAGTCTAATTGGCGCATTACACTTTTATTATTATAGATTTTTTTTTATTGATCTCAGAGAGGGAGAGAGATAAACATCAATGATGAGGGAGAATCATGGATTGGCTGCCTCCTGCATGCCTCACATTGGGGATCAAGCCCACATCCCGGGCATGTGCCCTTGACTGGGAATCAAACCGTGACCTCCTGGTTCAACCACTTAGCCTCGCCAGCTGGGCCCCCTGGCTTCTTTAGAAGCGAGTCCCAACACATCAGTAAATTCATCTGTAAATAGTTCAGAGTCTTGTTCCTTATCCATTGTTGTTGTCTGGTTGCTGGTCACAGCAGTGGTCTCTCAGGTCCTGACTCGTGGGCTGACAACTTGGTCTGGGACCAGCCGAAGGCTCCTCCCGCAGGTTCTGTCCGGCTCCCTCGCGGGTGGAGTTCGCTGGTGACTTCATTGGGGCTGGACAGACTCTTATGGCCTCGCTTACACGTGCCTACACGTGCCTGACTGTTGGCCAGGAAGCCTCCAGCCTCTGCCCGGCCTTGCAGCGGGCTAGCTGGGGCTTGCTTCCCGGTGGCAAGAGAGGGCAGGTCCTGAGGGGCAAGGGTCGTGCAAGCCTCCGCTTGCGTCTTGTTTGCTGATGTCCCGTTTGCCAAAACAAGTCGTGTACGGCCACGTCCAGGACCCATGTGGGAGGATGAGAGAGATGGATGAGGGCTTCAAAACGGGGGGGACTCGCCTGGCCTGCTGGCATGGCTCAGCGGCTGAGCATCGACCTATGAACCAGGAGGTCATGGCTGTATTCCTGGTCAGGGCACATGCCTGAGTTGCAGGATCCATCCCCAGTAGGGGGGGCATGTAGGAGGCAGCCGATCCATGGATGTTTCTATCTCTCTCCCTCTCCCTTCCTCTCTGAAATCAATAAAAATATATTTTTAAAAATAATCAAACACTGATAGAACCAGCACCCCTTAGATCAGTGGTTCTCAACCTTCTGGCCCTTTAAATACAGTTCCTCATGTTGTGGTGACCCCCAACCTTAAAATTATTCTCGTTGCTACTTCATAACTGTAATGTTGCTACTGTTATGAATCATAATGTAAATATCCGATATGCAAGATGGACTTAAGTGACCTCTGTGAAAGGGTCGTTCGACCTCCAAAGGGGTCGTGACCCACAGGTTGAGAACCGCTGCCTTAGATGCTGGGGGCCCACTCAGGCCAAAAGCAAGCTCCCCAGTGCATGGCAGCTCCAGAGCACCTGCAGTACCACATTTAGACACCATAGGAAGCCAGACTGCCAGTTCCTGAAAAGGGCACAACCAGCAAACCCATGCAGTTAGCATATCACACATGAATCGTGGCAGGGTTGCAGAAACTGGAATTTTCATTACTGTGGGTGGATGGGAATGCAAAGGGAATGGCCATTTCAGATCACAGTTACACATATCTTACAATGTAACACATTTCACCTACACAAAAACACTACATACTAGGTGTACCAGTTAATAATGGTGGATTTGGTAATTAAAGAAAACATGATAATTTCAAGAGAAATATCAAAAGTGCTTTATAGTAATGTCCATCGCTAGCTACACATTTCCCCCATCTTTCAGGTCATTTGTGGTTACCGTCCCAATAGAACTTTTCTTGTTTTGAGGCAAACCATTCAGACCCAATTTTCCACTTCTTTGTATGTTTTGAAGTGCTGCTCAGAAAGTGCATGTGTCATCTATCAGAACAAATGCTAATCTGAAGGAGTAAGGGCTGGTGAATATGGCGGGTGGGTTAATACTTCTCAGGCAAGAACTTTCAACCTGCCTTTAACTGGTTTTGAAGTGTGTGATGGTGCATTATCATGAAACAAAATTATTTTGCTGGTGTCTTCTGGCCCATTCACCATCAAAGCATGGTTCAAA